TTTCTAGAAGGACCACCTCTAGGGGTGTACATGTAATTTCATCTTCCAGATTATCCAGTCCTTTCATAGACTGTTAGAGGACTGTGAGGAGCACAGGCTCCACAGCAGTAGCTCAGAGTTGGAGCACACTGGGACACAGATCCAAGTGTGAGACTCTACTAAATTGTGTTTCTTCCATGAACAATTACCAGGTAAGAAATTATTTCTTTCTGATAGCGGTGACTTCAGTTTCCGTGGTAAGTAGGGCATCAGCCATTCTACATTAAATTTCATAAGCATAAATTAGTGCTACAGGCCCATATGCAGTTCCTCCCAAAAAAGTGGCAGAATTTCAATTTAATAAATCAGTCATAATATTATCACTATTTTCACTGCAATCTTATGGCCATGCCCGCAGTACCCAAATTGAACATTAAAGCTCTCTTGGCTCTTATCTGGAGTAGGCTAAATCTTTAGATAAAAGATCTATTTATATCATTTTACACCGGTATAATAGAGTCAACCTGTGTCTAAGAGAAGCATGACTAACTGGTTGCCTTAATGCCTTCTCATTGTTATTCCTTAGCGGGTCTGACCCTTAAGGGCATGTTAAGCACACAGTCAGAAACCAGCCTCAGATCATTACCTAGTCAGGAGATTTGCGGAGCGGCCCTATGGAATTCTCAATATAGTTTTAATAAAACACTAGTGTTAGTGGAAACAAATTCATGTTGAAAAGTCTAATTTGTGCTGCAAAATCAGTATCAGTTTCTGTACTGAAAATAGTCTAGCTCAGTAGTTCTCAATCAGGGGTATATGTACACCTGGGGGTAGTCAGACGACCTCCAGGGTGTACATCAAATCATATTTGCCTAGATTTACAACCGACTACATAAAAAGCACTAACGAAGTCAGTATAAATTAAAGTTTCATACAATGACTTGTTTATACTGCTCTATATACTGTACACTGAAATGTAAGTACACTATTGATTTGATTTTTTATAATTGGCTTTTTTATAATTTATATGTTAAAAATGAGAAACTAATCAATTTTTCAGTAATAGTGTGCTGTGACACTTCTTTGTATTTTTATGTCTGATTTTGTAAGCAAGTGGTTTTTAAGTGAGGTGAAACTTGGGGGTATGCAAGACAAATCAGACCTCTGAAAGGGGTACAGTAGTCTGGAAAGGTTGAGAACCACTGGTCTAACTCATTTGACCCTTGATTTTTTTTTCCTTCTGGGGCAATAGGTGGCTTGAAGGTGGGGGAGGGGGTCTCCAAGTATTTCATTTGTTTTTTTAAGTATTTCATGTTTTCCTTATTTTAGACACTTCCTTGGAGTTTATATCCTCAAAGTGGGGAAGAGCTACCTTTGAAGGAAACAACTAATTCTGATCTCAGGAAATTTCATTTGTAAGGAATCTCAGCTCACCTAGTATTCCCTGCATGGCAAAATAAAGGAGCTGATAGCAGGGGCAGTTTCTAGCTATTTTGACGCGTTTTTAGGTAAACAGTTTAATACCATAGCTCTTCAGGTTTGGGATTTTCCAGTCGTAGCCTTATACACGTAGACCATATGTTTAAAAGTTTGGATCTGTTACACTTACTACATTCTGAGAAGGAGCATTAAATACAGGTGCTTCAGCATACGTAGGGTATCCCTACACTACAAAATTAGGTTGATTTTATAGAAGTCGATTTTTAGAAATCGATTTTATACAGTCGATTGCATATGTTCACACTAAGCACATTAAGTCGGCGGAGTGCGTCCTCACTACCGTGGCTAGCATCGACTTACGGAGTGGTGCACTGTGGATAGCTATCCCACAGTTCCTGTAGTCTCCGCCGCCCATTTGAATTCTGGGTTAAGCTCCCAATGCCTGATGGGACAAAAACATTGTCGCGGGTGGTTTTGGGTACATGTCGTCAGTCGCCCCTCCTTCCGTGAAAGCAACGGTAGACAATCGTTTCGTGCCTTTTTTCTTGGGTTACCTGTGCAGATGCCAGACCATGGCAAGTATGGAGCCCGCTCAGCTCACTGTCACTGCTGCTGTTGTGGGAAAGTCTGCTGGGAGGGCTGCTGTGATTCAAGTAGCCAATGCAATCATTGAGGTTCTGTTATCAAGGGTAGTGACTTTGGGAAATGTGCAGGCCTTGTTAGATTGTAGGTGCATCATATTCCTGTCCTCCAGGCATTCGACACAGAAGCACCTGCAGCAGCTGGCATTGCTACACAGCAGCAGCTCCGGGCCTTCGCAGCAGACGGTGCAGTAGGACTGCTAACCGTCATCATCCACTGCTTCCCCTGCAACTCTGCTTTCCTGCTCCCCAGTGATGAGCTCGGGGGATCTGTACTGGTCCTCCTGGGTGCTGCTGGCAGCAGACGGTGCAATAGGACTGGTAACCATCCTCATCGGACATGTAGCTTGGCCAGGGGTTTTGGGAACGTCTTCCCTGCCCGGCTCCCAGCAACCTCCAGAGCATGATGTATGGCTCCATCACTTCCTCTGCAACTCTCCTCTCCTGATCCCCAGCGACGAGCTCGGGGGATCAGTTCATGAAGCCTGGATAGTAGTAAGGAGCAGTTCGACTATAGGCTGAGCAAGTGCAGAATGGTGGTAGAATGTGCCTTTGGACATTCAAAAGCTCACTGGTGCTGTTGGTCAGACCTCAGCGCAATCGACATTCCCATTGTTATTGCTTATTGCTGTGTGCTCCATAATATCTGTGAGAGTAAGGGGGAGATGTTTATGGCGGGGTGGGAGGTTGAGGTAAATTGCCTGGCGTCTGATTTTGAGCAGCCAGACACCAGGGCGATTAGAAGAGCACAGGAAGGCGCGCTGCGCATCAGAGAGGCTTTGAAAACCAGTTTCATGACTGGCCAGGCTTCGGTGTGACAGTTGTGTGTGTTTCTCCTTGATGCAAACCCGCCCCCTTTGTTGATTTTAATTCCCTGTAAGCTAACCACCCTCCCCCCCTTCGAAATAAAGTAACTTGTTTTGAAACCATGCATTCTTTATTAATTAAAAAAAAAAGAGAGAACGGACAAGGTAGCCGGGGTTGGATGGGGGAGGAGGGAAGGACAAGGCCACATTGCTTATTGTAGCTACACTAAAAATCAAACTGTTTGAATGACAGCCTTCTGTTGCTTGGACCATACTCTGCAGTGGAGTGGCTGGGTGCCTGGAGCCTCCCCTTCCCCCCTCCCCCTGCGTTCTTGGGCATCTGGGTGAGGAGGCTATGGAACATGGGGAGGAGGGTAGACGGTTATACAGTGGATGCAGCGGGGGGTCTGTGCTCTTGTTGGCTTTCCTGCAGCTCCAACAGACGCTTCATCATGTCCGTTTGCTCCCCCATTAGCCTCAGCATTGCGTCCTGCCTCCGCTCTTCATGCTC